CATGAAGGGAGACAAGCTTGGGGAGACAAGGCGGCAGCGGCAGCCAACAGCGAAATCAGGAAGGGAGACTAGCTTGGGAGACAAGGCGGCAGCGGCAGCCAAAACCGAAATCATGAAGGGAGTGAAGGGAGACAAGCTTGGGAGACAAGCTGGCAGCGGCAGCCAAGAGCGAAATCATGAAGGGCGACAAGCTTGGGAGACAAGGCGGCAGCGGCAGCGGCAGCCAATTTCCGCAATCAGGAACCCATCCATTGAGAAGTAAGAACCCCTATAGCTTCGCTATCTGGGGAAAAATGCAGACTTCTCAATCTGAATCTGGCCAACTGCGGACCCTTATATTCATGTGCGGCCGTCAAAACTCCTTGTTCAATCTCATGCCACATAGATTGAGGAGACATCGCTTCGCTCAAACTGGTGGGGTCTCTGCCACGCTTTGCGGAATGAATGGAAAGCAAAGCAAACACCGGGCGTGGCAGGGCGTGGCAGTGCAATGGAGCACAGTACCACCGGTTCATGGCAGAAGCGCTGTTGTGTATGCGGCAAAACGGGGGTTTGCATTCCAGCTCAAGCAAAGGTGCCTTTAGGCGTGATAGTCCGATAGTTTCTTGTGGTTGGTAAATGCAGGTGTCAGCCAAACAGGTAAGCGACGAGCACTCAGACAGACAAACAAACAAACGTCACTCGAGTAGAAGGCAACAGCAAAGCTCAGCTGACACCAGAAGAGCTTTGCAAGCAGCTAAAAGCTTTACCAAGTGGTTGCCACAACATCTTTGTTGGTTGCACACCACTCTATATGTTTCAGTGGGCAAGTAAGTGATGGACTGGCATGATCGAAGGCATTTCGTTGGGGTCTCTCTGAGGCACCGAGTTATGGGGTGTCGCTGTCGTGGCATCCCCGAAGCGAATTGTGGCCCCACAAGGAGATGACTCCTGCAAAGGAGATGACCTTTTACATGTAAAGACATCCATGTCACAAGAACATGTGGAATTCCCTTTCAAATCAAGAACCTCTTGAAAGAAAAACACTGGTCGAGGAAATGCACTTGGACCATGTGAATCCCTCATGTTCTGGTAGGGGATCGCTCTTGGGGAGATCCATCGCTTCCCTGGGTGTTGCCCAAGTGTCGTGTCAGGCGGAACAACGACCGCTTCGTCTGCCCAGTCTGCCCGTGCTTTGCGTCGCATGGAACAAAAAAACAGAAAAAAACGAGGCCTCCAACCGGTCCAGACCGGCTGTGCCTGGTCTTGGTCTCTCTGGTCCCTCAGCTCGACCTCTCCGCGTCCGTCTCGCTCGACCTCCAACCGAAGCGGCACCCGGTCCCCACCCGGGCACCCGGACGGCTCCGCGTGGGTCGAGGCCTCGCTCGCCTGGGGTCGACGGACCGGTGCCGGTTGGGGGTCGGTGGCCGCCTCCGGAGCCATGATGGGTGCTGATGTGGTCACTTCGAAACAGCGAGGAAGCTCCTGACTGACACGGTGAATTTCTTCTTCAGGTCCATAGACTCTCGGACCTGAACAAAGGAACTGACCTGTCAAGGAATGTGGCGGCTGACCTGTTTGGACCTCTGACTCGCTGACAGCCGCCGACCTCTGACTGGGGGGGAGGGGGGGGGGCGGGGTAGCATAGGGAGACCTCCCAAAGACCCCCTGGAAACTTGACCAAGACACATTGGGCCAAAATGAAGTACAAGCTGTCTCCCTCTGTGATCTTAGGGCTTGAGGTGTCGCAATGGTTCAATGTGTTCGGCTCCCTCTAATGAAATACAAGCCCAGAATGTGGTTCTTACACCTTGAGGTGTCGCAATGGGAAGGGTCTGATCTTGCACTCCCGGCAGGTGGATCAGATGGCGTTTCTTTCTCCCGGAGAAAACAGAAGAGCTGGGGCAGCTGGGGTAGATGGATCTCCTATGATCTCACACCAAGACTCCAGGACCCGACTCTGGACGGGTCTTTTCTTTTTCAGGTGGCTTTTGCCGGTCGCAGGTGGTGGTGACCTGTGAAGTCGGGTGCTGGTATAAGATCATATAAGTGAACAAAACATCCGCGTGAACATTGAAAAACACCTTGTTTCTTTCCCGGAACCCATCATAATAAGTAGTCTATTCTGTCCATGTTCGGTGGAAAATAAAAAAGAACAAGGTTTTCCCAGTGCCATGAAATACAGCCATTTTCGGTGTCAAAACCAATGTCTGGGCTGAGAAAGTACGGAATTTGATTTACTTCACTCGGCATGGCTTTCATCTGGTTGCACCACTGAGCTCAGTATCAGTAGAACGACATGGACCATCGAACCTGACCATTCTCCATATCCATCTTAGTGGCTTAGCGAAGATGACAAGCTGTGAATGAAGGGGAAAATGACCTCTTAAATATACACATTCTAGACCCTCAAAAGTGTTCGTTTGGAGGACAACAAGCATGTTGCTTTTCAGTAGACAATGACAAGCATACAGCCCCAAAATCCATCGGGATTCAGTTGAGGGTTCATGTTGGTTTCTTTGGGTGGGTTCGCTTTTGAGCCTTCTTTGGGGACTATGTTCTGCACCAGGCCAAGTTTTATTCCGATTACGTTGTGACGTGAGGTCTTTTTCTGGTCATCAGTCGTGACCGTGCAATCTTGGGCGATCTTGGGTAAAGGGTTGTAAAATGAGGCAACCAGAAACACCAAGGTTTCAGTGTTGAGTTGACCAAAAGGCCCATCTGTCTCGCCTCTCGTGCACTCCGCTTGGCATGCGGCGGCGTGCGCGGGTGCGGCATCTGTCCCGGAAAGGCCTGGGCGTGCCCCGAGCCGAGTTTTCGCAATTCGAGCTCCGAATCGACCAGCAAAGCCTACCCAACTACATCCTCCGCCATATTCCACTTGAAACTGGAAGAATTCCAACATATTCCAACATATTCCAAGCCCCCTGAAGGGCGACCCGCTCCCCCCCCCTCGGCTCCCCGGGCCCAGTTCCCGTAGTTCGGCTCCGGCGTCTTCCGCCGCGTTTCGGCGTCGGTGCCGCCGGCCGCGCGGTCCGCATCGGGAACGCCCACCTGGGCGTGGCGGACGGGGGGTTGGGCCGATGGTCTGGAACAACACAATGGGGCTTCATCGCTTCCAAGTCGTCAACATCTACCTGGACCCTCCAACAGGTGTTTCCTGGTGGCAAGAGGTGCCCAGAAACCACCTGTTAGGCTTCTAAAACCACCTGTTGGAAGGTCCTGGTATACGCACCATCTCTGTAAACATTTCGAACCACCTTCGAAAAACCAAGTTTAAACAAATCGCCTACTGTATTATATTGTGGAAACCAATCGCCAATCAGTGGGGAGTCTCTGCGTTTTCAACCTGTGTGTGTGTGTGGCTCAAATAAGGATCAGTCATAAGGAGGCCTCCCAGGTCACGACCCTGCCGGGCAAGAAGGTAAAAAAAAAAAGAAACACGTCTATATATACCCAGCCAGTGGCCAGGTTTTTGGGGGGGTCGAGACCTCTTACACCGACACACTCGTGTTCTGGGCATCCCCGGCGGTGGTCGCCTCAGATCCTCAGCGCACCGCTGCGCGCGATCGCTCGGTCGAGAAGCGGGGAGAGCGGACGTGAGGCTGGATCAGTGGCAAGCGTAGTCTAAAAGAGGCAAGGAGCTGGAGATCCAAGTCTAGTGAGCTTGCTGGTGTAGGTCCGACGTAGGTGTTAAACAGTGATGCATGAATATGCATGATATCTGGCATGGTTTCGTGCTATTTCAACATGGCTGGAGGCATGATAGGAAACAGAGTATCGGATGTTCATAGATGTTCATAGTGAGGCTGTCAAAACTGGCATGTTCACCGGGAAGCACGAAGAGGCTTCGTAAAAGGGGTCCGCAACAGCTCAGTCAACAGAACTTCAACAGAACCGACCCTTTTTCGGGAGTCCCCCAGCAACAACCTTGAGTCACCAACAAAACCTATGAAATTAGGGACTTCAAAGCCACCAAAAATGTTGGCCCCAACGTCGACGTCGTGCGACGTCTCCCCCATGTGCGTTTCTCTTTTTCCTCCGTTGAGCCTTCTCACCCTTGACCCGAAACCTCCTCACCAGCCTCGCACCGAATCTCGGGACATGACCTGCTTTCCCCTGGCGCGGAAGCCGTTGTTCGTCGGGTGCGACGCCACGGCTCCACGCGGCGCCAGGGCGGTCCCCAACAGGGCGGTGGGTGGGTGGGACGGGAGGGTGCCCTGGACTTCCGACGATCTTCAACAGTCTGAATCGGTGACGCAAAGAGGAGCTTCATGCTTCGCCTGTACTGAAGAGTGCCTTTTTGACCATGTGTTAGATTGAGCTGTTTTAATGGTTTAATGATGTGTTACAAATGTGTTCTTTCGCTCACAAGGCTTGGGAAGATTCGATGCTCCCCCCAAATCTGGAGCGGAGGTTCGATTGTTCAATGGGGGCAGAAGTGGTCCTCTTCTCCCAAACCGGACTGATTTTCCCTCTTTTGAGGAATACCGGCGGCTGGAGGCTCTATTTGAATCAACGAGACGTCGATCGTCATGGCAGTTCGGAACTCGTGATGTGACCCAGGGCGCTCCTGGAAGGGCGGGGGCGTTTCGCCGCGCTCCGCCGGCAGTTCCATCTCATGCTCCAGCGCGCCCTGGCGAGACGTGGGAACACACGGTCTCGACGAAGGACGAGGGGAGCGGGGCGCACGAAACGAACGTGACTGGGGCGGTGGTGGCGAGCCGAGCGAAGGTAGACGACGTGAGGGTGCGTGCCATAGAGCCTTCCTCTGTTAACATACCCAGGAATAGATACAGTATGACACAGTAACCAGACACCATAAGGTAGGAGCCATCAAGAAATAAGTTCTTTTTCAGAGCACAGGCACAGGTCTGAAAATTGGTTTACGGTCTACACATCAAAAGGAAAACAATTGGTTGGACCCAATGAAGGGAGTTGGAAAAAGATAAAGAAGACCGAACGAGTGCGGCATGGCATGGTCCCCCCGTGCCCGCAGGTTTGGACGGCGTGTTCTGCAGGGGTTGGCCTATGTTGCCATGGATCCATGGAATCCGATGTCGCCGAAGAAAATCCCGGAAAAAACCACATGCTTCACCTCTGTTTCTCACCACCTGTACGTTCTTGTTCTCCTCTGTGAAACAGACACCTCTGAAAGCAGCTCACCCATCATTGGTCCGACAGAAAGCTGTTGCAGGCGGTCCACGTATGTACCGATTCATGGACGGAGACGTCGCGAGCCCGGAGCTCTGTTCGGCCGCGGACGGACCGTGGGGAGCAGTTGGGGATTCAGTGATGAGTGAGCAGTCAGACATGATGCTGAGCGGCTCACAATCCACTGAAATTAGACTTCAGAAGCAGGAAAGCCTTCGAAATCGATTTACTTGTGGGTCTCAAATGGGTCTCGGAGCTCCAGTGGCTCCAGCTATTGCCATCGTCGACTTGTCTCAAGTCTCTATGCTGGGTGTCCAAAAAAACATTCACCAACACACACCAGACACACGGAGTGGCCTTCTGTGGGTCAGACGACACATACAACTCATACAACACAGACACAGTAGACCCTCCGAATCTCCGGTGGATCACCGTTCCGTTCACTCGGTCGGGCGCCTCGAAGCCCGCGTGGGTGCGTTGATCCATGGTCTTTAAGAAGCCGCCGGAGCGCTTCTTCTTCTCCACGAAGAGGTGGTACGTGGTGGTGACATGGTTGTGCTTTCCCATCTCCCTGGCGATGATTTGTTTTTGTTTCAAGATCAGAGAAACGATCCAACGGTTTGGAATCATGTTCGACAACACGTGCTCAAAACGTAATGAGATTGTAGCAAGTGGATGTGGATCATACAGTTAAGTTGTATGATGTTATATTGCAGAACGCATGTGTCACAAAGTCTCAAACTCTTGGGAATCCTCCTGGAAAGAGTTCCAAAGACGTAGGAGGCCGTAGCAATGTTTCGTGAACCAAAAACCAGCTCCCATCAAAAAGTGTGCGCCGACAGTGTCGCATCAAGTCATGAAAAAGCGTGGCTGTCTGGCAAGCACTTGGCAGCGTAGTCTCTGGGGAAGCCAAAGCGATCGAGCTGATCCAACCTCACGCGCTGGACGCCGCGTGCCATGGAATTCCCCCGCGGGCGGAAAAAAACTGGTCACGGCACAGCCGCCAGGGTCTCGGGCACATCTTCCTCAAGGACTTTGCTTCCAGGGCCTGTGAAAGAGGCAAGACGGACGAAGCACTCGCCAGAAGAACAAGGATCAAGGATCCCAGTGCAAACGGCACGGAGCTGATAGCTCCGCAGCCTGATGGCCACTCATGTAGTTATTGAACGAGGCAAAGAGAGATAAGAGGAGCAAAGACAGACAAAGAGGACGAGATGCTCTGACATCCGAACAGGTCTATCGTCCACCATATGAACCCATGGTCCATTTCACATGGTCGCATCTTCAGGCGCCATCCGGATGCGCGCATCGCATGCCTGCAGACGCCGGGAGGGCAGCTTCCGGAATCTGCCGATACCTCCGCGTCCACCGGAGATTGGCTGTTCGAAAACTGAGACGGTCACTGTGGACGGTGAAGGGCGCTTCCTCACAGTCATTCCTGCGTGTCCCCAGTCCCAACCGGGAACCGATGTTTTCCCCAAGAACCACTTGCTACGTCAAGGATCTCTGCGGATCGGCGCTATCTTGCCGGACCAACTCCTTCGTTTCTGGAGAAGTCGAGAAATCCACAGGTTGCACAGCTCGAAATCGAAGTCGGGAGAAGTTCGATCTCAAAAAAGAAGGCCGTCGATCCCGGAGGTCGAAAAAGGCACGTGTTTGCTGGTGTTTGGAGGTGTTTTAAAGGTTGGAACGTTGTTTTTATTTCGATCTATGAAGGGGGGGCAATTTCGGTCGCAAAAGCCAGAGCAAAACGGAAAAAAAGAACTTTTTGGAGAACTGATCTCTGAAAGAATCTTGTGAGTTGTTGTTCATTTCTCACCAGCTTGCCCTTCCCGCCTTTCAACGCCAAATGTCCGCCTCCCCCGGTGTTTTTGACTCTCATACAATGATTCAATCTGCAGCTTCAGGGAGCACCATGGATGAGTTCTGATCTTGGAGATCGTATAACGAGTCTCGGGGTCCGTATTCAGCATCCTGCGAGCTGCACGAGCTGCGAGGGAGCTGCACGAGCTGCAAGAAGAAACGTCATGTTGCACGTCATGTTGCAGTGCTGGAAAGGCCACTACAGGGATTTCGGCTCAGAGTAGATGGCAAAATATTGAAGAGCTAGGGGTCACTGTTCACTATTCCAACCATCCCCAGTGGGCTCCAATAACACGGGTCAGTACCTGAATCTCAAGTGTTTCATGATGTGTCATATCTTTCCTCCCACTCAGCTCACCTACTGTGGCAGCTGATAAGAGACATCCTTCATGATACGCTTTGGAATGCACATGGGAGGATGAACAAGTTGGAGAATACGGAAAAGAAAGTTGGAGGCCATCGCTAGTAGGTTGGAGGCTATCGCTATAAGTAACTCAAGATTGTGTTTAAAACTCTATTTTAATGAGTTTGGAGGCAATAAGAAGCTCCACCGAGGCCTAGGGTCTGACCATCTTTTTCGCCGATACGCGGCTAACTTACGCGGCTAACTTCTTGGGTGCTGAGCATAAGCCAAACCCACTTAGGTGCTTCAAACCCAGTCCACACCACGGTGCTTCGCTTCACCAGTGCTGAAAATGCTTCCCTCTCAGCTCACCTGGAAATGAGATCCCGAACACCTTCGGAGATAAATTTGGGCGCCTGGGCCAACGAGGAGATCCCGCGGTCTTCGCTTCGGCAGCTCGGCAGCTCGGCAGCTGGTGTTAACAAGAACGACGCGTCGGATGTTGCACGTTTCGGGGCCGCCGGCAGCGGGCGGCCTCTTCAAACATCGGACGAAGCCGCCGCCGAATGGGTAGGGTGTTACAAAGGGGTGGATAGGGGTGCCCAGAACATCCACTCACTTAAGGACGAATAACCACCCCTTGGTGACTCCTGCGGGTAAGGCGCTTCTTTTGCAAAGGAGTTTGAAGCACATGTTGATTCGTGCTTCGACTGGTCACCCCTGGCGAACATGTTTTCTGCCCCGTTTTGACTATGTTGACCTCAAAATATCCGAACATTGCCCAATCACAACTGGTGTCTGCTGGTAGCTGTGCAAAACGATGTGTCTCTTTGTTTTCTCGCTTTTGCATGCACAGAAAGTCTCCGAAATTACCTAATCACAAACTTCACCGTTGCCAGCTGGTAGCTTGCAAGATTGTATTTCTCTTCATCGTTATTTGCTTTTTTGTGTTCCGTCTCTCTTTTGAAGTGCGTGACCCAAAAATTTGTCATGTAGATACATGTAGCCTGACGGCCTGAGGGTCCGTTTTCACGGCCTGGTAGTCTGCGTTGAGGATCTTTCGGTACAAAGCCGATGTGTTTTGATCCTCAAAGGGCAAGTAGCCGCCTGGGCAAAAAAGGAATGGCCCAAAAGACGGGAAACAACGCAGCGCTTCCAGACTTCTCGGTTGCTTTTTCTAGACAAGAAGGTCCGGGAGATGAGGGGGCTTTCATGTGACTCATGAGCGCAAGCTAGCTTCTCCTGGCATGGCCCCCAAAAGACTCGGATCATGAAGTCCTCACTCCAGGTAATCATGACCCAGACCTTCCATGGGACCCGCATAGGAAAACCTACATTGACCCCGGCTCAACCAGCCCAATGTATGCCAATCTTCCATGCATAGTGCTTGGGTGATGATTTCAGGGCGTGGTGATTTCAGTTCTTTGGGGTTGTGAGAGTGCATGAGCCACGGGCAGGTTCTGGGTGCAGACCCCGAACTAAGAGATAGAATGAAGTGAATGAAGTGAATCCTGCCTCCAAGAAGAGTTTGGAAGTTGAGAAACGAGGTGTTTGGCGACCACTACTATAACTCATAAATCTCCCTCACAATGTCCAGATAATAGGATAAGTCTGACGAGTAGATGCTCTTAAAAGAGCTTTGACCCCATCAATGCAGTGTCTGGCTTGCATGATGCCTTCGATCATTCCTGCCGCATGTTGCGGCGCGGCCGCACTTGGCCGGTCGCATGTGTATCTTCATGTGTCTGGTCGTTGAGAGGGGCTGTCTTCGTCTGCTGAACTGAGAGGACCCTGAGAGGGAGCTTCACCCGTTTTGGTGCAGTTAGTGGCTCCTGCAGCTCCTTCTCGTTCTCAAATGGTATCGGGTTGGGTGCTGGTTTGTTGGTCGAAATTCAGGTTGTCTGATGCTTTCTGTACATATTGCCTTGCTTCTTTTTGACCTTTTTGTACATACCGAGTCAAAGGACTGTAGATCTCCAGTCACAGACGGCCTGCTCGATTCGCAGGAAGCGACTGACCATCAAAGGCACTGCACCGGCTCTGGTTCGGCGACCACGTGTTCCCTTTCGGGTGGAGGAAGCAGCGTCGGTCGCGTGTCCTTCCTTGCTCCGTCCAAAAGGCTGTCCGCGGACCGTGGCTCTGTGAGCCGCCATTGGGAGGGGCTTGGAGGAGGAAGCTGGTGACTAGGTAGAAGGGGGTGGACAGAGTTCACATCTGTAAACAATTGAACCAAGTGCTACACAGGACCTACTCAAAACTTTGATTGGTTCTTGCCCAGAGGAGGCTCACAGACTCCATGACCCTCCCTTACTTTTTGGACACATCTTCTGCCCATTGGACCTCCAGTTGGACCACCAGTTGATCTCCTTCACCCTCTGACCCTCTGATCCGATCTCCTTCACCCGGGTGCCCGGGCAGACGAGGGCAAAGAGGATCACGCCACAGCTCCACACGTCGCAGCGCGATGGCACCTGAGGTCGCGGTCGCGGACCCGCGGGTTCCGCGGTCGTTCGGCCGTTCAACGGCCTTCCAAAACAGCGAAGAAAGCCCCTGTTTTTGGTAATGGCAAGGGTATTGCATCTCTCTGGTTGCTGAGAGAAATTCCCCATTGAGTCTTCGCTGCTCCGATGCTTCGAGGTCTCCGCGTGCCAAGCGAACTGAGTCGGTCTGTGTAACTCAACTCGTTGGATGAGGACTTCCAGCTGCTGTGGCTCGTTGCTACAAGGCTCGAAGCTACCTGGACCTACAAGGGGTGTCCTGGCTGGAGGTCCCTTAGTGGTCTAGGGGCTTCCAGCCAGGTGACCCCTTTGAAGGTGCTGCTACAAGGCAAGTGCCCAGAACTGCGACGGATCGAATCGCCCGGCCGCGCCGAGCGAGCCGGTGGGGTTCCCCGTTCCGCAGGGTGCGGCGTGAGCGGGTCAGGTGGGTTTTTGGAAGGGAGCAGCATGAAGATCTACAAGAAAAACCAGGAAATGCATGGGACACCATGTTTTTCACCCCCAATGGGTGTTTGCTGGTCCATTTAACCAAAGATAGGGCACCCGAGCTTCCGTCATGCACTTTTCTCAGCGGGCAAAACAGACCGTTCAGCCGGCCAACGAAGCTGATGAAAACGGAAATCAATCTCGGTGAGCCAAAAAAATGTCGCTTGCACATGTATAATTGACATCTATTGAATTGCTGGGGCCACGGCCTGCCTGGAAACTAGCTTGCCAGTCCAGGTTCAAAATGTTCAATCCAAATAGGCCAAATAATCGTCCTCGTTGTCTGATTCGATGAGCGTACTATCTGTGTAGAGTCTGCCACCATGTTTTCTGAGAGACTCCTCCTTCTATTTTTGGAGTTTCCTCCGGTCATAAGGAAAAGCCCAATGCAGAAAGATGTAGCACATCAGGCACAAGAGCCAGGGCAGCACTGAGGTGAACGCCAAGGCTTTTCCCAACGCCTCTGCATTGCTTGTGGCTTCACCTGGGCCAAACCAAAGCGGTGTTTAAAGGCCTGAAAAACCTCGAATTGCTGGGGGAGGAGGACGACTTCGGGGTGAGGATTGCACCTTTGAGCAGAGTCCATCTGTCAACTTGAGCTCTGTCATGTCATGTGGAGCTGCATCCCTCCAATCCAAGTGTCCTTTGGAAAAACACCCAATCACAGATGCATACCTACAATATGTATATATATATATAAATATATATATATACGACTATGTATGTGCTTCTTCTTCTTCTTCTTCTTCTTGGCGGATCTATCACAAAAAACTATCTCCAATTTCCAAAAAACATCTTGGTCCCAGACAAAACCCCCCTTTGCGAAACACACACACACACAAACAAACACCACACGCGCACAACACACGCACACATGCGCACGCACCGAACGGCGCGGCCTTCATCTGCCAGGTTGAAGCCAAAGAGGTTTTGCGCCAGGAAGCCCACCGCGGCGTTGCCCAGGAACGAGGCGACGGCGCCTTCCATGGCGCTCTCCCAGGCCATGATGCCGCTTCGACTTTGGGGATCCACGATCTCCGACAAGATGGGCCAATTCACGCCCACACAGCACCAGGTGGCCGTCAAGCCCATGAGGACCTAGGAGGGAGAGATCTGGCGGAAATGCTGGAATGGTTTCAGTGGATGGGTTGAGCTGATGGGGAAAGAAATCGTGGCTGCCGTGGTTGGCGTTTTTTGTCAAAAGGAAAATCACCCGGATGGAAAAAGAGGAAAAAGATCTACCCCAGAAGCAACATGACCAGGTGACCAAAAGAATGGCGTAGTAGGCAAAGGTTTGATTGGTCGTCATGAAGATGAAGAAGACACAGGGAATTCCAAAGCTCACCGACATGTTCGCCGTAAAGGCACGGCCATGATTGGGGCATCTCTTGGCCATGGCATCCCCAATCAGACCGCCCAAGACGTTGCCGATGGCACAGGCCAACTGAAACATCGTACTGAGTCCAGCGGACTCGGTGTCACTCAGTCCGTTCACTTGAAAATACATCGTCAAGTAGTTGAAGGCGTTCCAAGGAATCGCTCCGAACAAACCCTGGCCCACCAGGCACAGGAAGGTCGGCTTGGCAAAGTAGCTCCCCAGCTTCCTGTTCGGCACCACCGATTTCCAGGAACACCAGGGGCTCACGAAGGTCGTGTCTAGTCAACACGTGGTTCGGGCTTGGAGACAGCCGGGAGTTCTGGGGTTTTGTCACACAGGTATGCTTCAAACAAAGCTAGAACCCTGTCGAAGGCTGCAATTAGACAAACTGCAAGTGCACTCAACGGTTGTCCTCTGGCATGGGGGCCGAACACCTCTGTCAGTTTCTAGTGTGCTTTTGCTTTTACTGTTTTTGTAATGGTATTTTGGACCTTTGGAGGATGATTTGGAGGAGTCGTCCATCTCGTTTTGTGCTTCGCAGTGGTCGTTGTTTCCTTCACGTTTCGCACACCTCATCTCGTCCTTGGCACCATCACATCCACGTTTCCGACTGCCAGACTCCCATGTCTTCTCCCTCCTCGGACGCGGAGCTCTCGGAGCTCTCTCCGGTCGAAAGGACTGGGACGGACGGGACGGGCGAAGAATGTAAGAAAAGAAACGCCCTCAGTTCTTCAACAAGTGCAAATGGATATAGTGGCACGAAGTGACTGATGTTTGGAGAAGATGTGTCTTGCAATCATTGGTCTGCCACACGTTTAGAGTTTAGAGGCCCAAAAAGTGGCTTGAAACTCAAAAAGTGGAGAGACGCCCTGACTACAAACCGAGCAATACAGAGCACTACAGGAAGTCCATGTTCAGCGAAGTGTTTCTCTTTTCGAGATCTCTTCAGCCATCCCAAGTCCTGGCTTCATGCATGAAGACCTTGATCAAGAATGCCGTGAAGATGGCAAAGCCTCCGATCAAAATGAAGGACACGCGCCAGCCTTGAAGCCCTAAAATCTGGTGCCTCGACATGGGGGTGCCAATCATGGCGGCCGCCATCATGCCCAGCGTCACACAGAGCTGCAAATAGCCGTAGACCCGCCCACGCGAGGTTTCCGAGGTAGTGTCTGCGACCAGACCCACGCACAAAGGCTTCAAGCTGGCCAACATGGCTCCATTGATGATCCTCAAGACCATCATCAGCGTAAAGCCGTCGATGAATGCCAGCAGCACGGTGCAAAGGCCTTGAAGCAACGCCCCTACGGCCAGCAGGGTCTTTCGTCGCACGACTCTGCGATCTGCCAGGACGCCCCAAGCCGGTGCGGCCAAGGCTGATGCGACGGCCTGGCCCAAGGTCATCACTGAAAGATCCGTCAATCGCAAGTGTAGGTCATGTTGAAGAGCAAGATTCACTGCCGGAAGCAATCCCATATCCATACCCTCAATTGCACTGATGCAACAAAGCTGTAGGATCATCATGGTAGGAGGAGATTTCTCTTCCTCTTTCTCTGTCTCCGCGTCAGAGTCATGGTCATTGTCTACAACCTCAATCTGCCGTCCAGACATCCTGGTTGAGGCACAACGTCTGTTCTCCTTAAGCCAAGGCTTGAGCCGTGGTTGCAGGTACACAGAACTTGATCTGAAGTATATACAGGTGCACTGCCTTCTTTTTGGCCACCAGTCCTGTTTCATCCTTTTGCTATATAAGTGTTCGCAAACAAAAAAAAGCTGGAAACGCAATCTCTATTTGGGGACTTCTGCCACTTTAGCACATCACACAAACCATCCATGTCCTCCCTCCATCAAATACAAACCGCAGTTAAGCTCGCTTCGTGCTGGGCGTGGCGCGTATCGTTGACCTGCCACCATCTCCGGGGCTGCGTAACAGGGTGAGCCACAAGCCGTTTTCAGGAGCTGACCATCCTGCGATGCAGAAAAGTCCCCGTGATGCATCTCGAACGGCGGCCGGTGCGAATGTTCTCTTCTCGGTCTGGTTGGGACACAGAGTTTGGCAGCGAAGGGATCAACTTCGCCAAAGGATGGGCCGTTTGGGCTGTCTACCTGTCCGCCTGGACACCCAAACAACTGTTTTGTGGTAATTATATGGCGCCAGCTTGAGATTCTTTACAGAATAAGTGGCTGTTTAGGGGAAACATCTGGCTGTTTGGGTTTCCAGGCACATCTGCCACATTCGGTCCGAATTCTTGGGTGGATGGATTGAGGAATTGGGACTGGGGTTGAACCCAGTTCCCATCAGCACCCTGATTCCAAACACCAAGTTCTATCAAATCAGTGGAAGGGCCCAGAGGACCCAAAACAACCCAATTCCATGGCTGGGTGGCTCGTGATGTGCGCCTAAGCGAATTGATGCATATTCCCACGGATGCCATTCTATAGATTGGCAACCCTTGTCGGGATTCAAACTCTACCGAAGGGTCTCCATGATTTGCTCTATGTGTTGCTATTTGTCGATGTGTGGTGCCAAATTTGGGTCACCCTCAGCTCACCCTCGTGGAGGATTTGAGGGGGGGTTCAAGAACCGAGCTCCCGATCCTGCCGAGTCATGTGAGCAGAGTCAAACAGTGACCCGACTGGGGCATGGACAGTCGTGAAAAGGGGCGCTTTCGATTTGGAGTCTTCTTTGGTGACGCAGAAAGAAAGCAACAATTCAAATACCTGGTTGAAAAAGACACCATTCCACTACATGCTTAAGCGGAAGCCGGTGCATCACTCAGTCCACCTCTGCTGGGACAATCACTCCCAACAGGGATTCTAACATCGGATGTGGCAGCTCGGCCGGTCTCTCCCCCTGGGCGGCCTGGTAGGTATTGCTGAGACCAAAATCCACGATCTTGATGTTCTTCTGCTCATCCAGCAGAAGATTCTCTGGCTTCAAATCCCGGTGCACGACGTTCATCCTCCGATCCCGAGCATCGAAGTCGAACGTCGACGAGCGCTTTCGATGGGCGTCGGACGGGACGTCCTGGCGGGGGGGCGATTGGAAGGACACCGCCCATCCTGGCTCTCTTGGTGGGTCAAACGGGCGACGCCCTGGAAGTTCTGAGTCGGTGACCATCGGATGGGTCGGTGCAATAAACTCCTTCACCGATCCTTCACCCAGCCTTCACTGGTGGTCCGGGCCGGTGTTTCCTTTCAAAAACGACAAGAAGAAACTTGGAGACCCCAAGAAAACCAATGCGTTGTACCAGGAGATCCCCCTCTCTGACCAAAGGATGGGACACGTGCATGTTGCAGTTTTTCCGGTAGGACAAGCAGGTCTATCCCTGCTTCATGCTACAAAACCACAGCTGTGGGGGCCAGCTGACCTGGCAGAATTGTCGACATTTGCGTTGGATGCCTTGCTGGGATGGGCTGAAAATCTTTTCACAGGAGGATTGGCATCTCAACGTGGCTCTACTACACATGTCCTAAAGCAAGTACAGTAGATCTATGTAGATCTTGGGTAGCGTCCTTTTCCCTTCCACCAAACCTGACCAAAAGCGCCTTCAAAACTCTAAACCCAGATTCATTAAGATTGATGTGATTCATGTACCTCCAAACCCGACGGTTCTTCTTTGTGTGTAGGTCCGTGTGTAGCTTTTAAAAACATACCTGGACCATCCAAGGGGTGCCCTGTCTGGAAGCCTATAGGTTGTGTCGGGTAGTCCAGTGGACACCCCTTGCATGGTCCTGGTATAAAAAGAGCGTTCTCATCCTCATCTTCCAAGGCTCCGGTGGATCTGCTCGACACCCGCCATGATCTGGTGCACGAAGCGCGCTGCCTCGCTAGCAGAAGCGTGCTGGGTCCCGTCCCCCGTCTCTCCTTCAGGACCGACAACTCCACCCGCCTGGGGGGGGGGGAGCTGGACTTTGAGTTCTGGGAGCGCAACCAGGAACATCTTGGAACCAGGAACTCATGGCAATTCCGTGTGAACCGAACTTCCCTGCCTCAAGAACCAGTGGGAAACTGCTTTGCCGTCAGATCTGTCTTCCGAAGCGATCCAGCCCAGCCCCTTCCGGAAAGGTTGGGTCGGCAACCTGGAAGCGATCCAGCGCCTCCCGTTCGAGCCTTCCGTCGGGCAACGAATCGATCGTCCGGATCGTCCGGAGACCCGTCGCCTACGCCGCCGTTGACCTCTCCGCATCTCTCCCTGTCCGCCTCGCTCTCCTTCACGCGGTTTTGCGCCACGATGTAGTCGAAGAGTTCTCCACCACAGCAGAACTCCATGATGAGATACCTCCGACCGGACCACCCCGGAGGAGGGACGGATCGTGTCGCGGAGAAGGCTGAAGGGAAAAAGGAAGAAGAGGTCAGAGGAGCGCAACGTTGCAAAAGCAAAAGGTGTGAAGGCTGATGGAAGTCTTTCTCTATCTTGGGGGGTCTCATACGGATCTTATGAGAGGCATAAGCTGCATGGTTGAAAACCGTGATGTGTCGCACTGTCACCTTGTGTTGAAACATTCCAACATGTGGTGCCTCAGGACTGTCACGAAGGGCACACTAGAAATAAGCATATTAGGTACAAAGGCCACGAATACATAGTGGCCAGCAGAGGTTGAAGAACCCTATAGACTATCCCATAGGTACCCCAGGACTCCCCAGGTCACGGGTCCTGTAAGGTCACTTAACCCCTCTTGGGGCACTTCTCAACATTCTTGTGCTGCTAGGTTGGATGTGACATCAAATGAGAAAAGTCGTCGAAATACTGCCGTCAGCAACGCAGGCTGCGGTTCTTGTTTCGGTTTTATGGATGATCTATCACTACGAATAATCATTGCTACTGGTAATACAAACTTCCACACCAACTGCTTCCTCATCACTCATCAAAACTGTGATGTCTCTTCATCTCCTTGCCTTCTAATGCCGCATGTGACCACCACTATCCACCTTCAAAAAACACTTCTGGATGAGAAGACCAACTCACTTTTCCATACCTTTTCCCAACTCTCACCAAGGCACAGCTGTCTCGGCGTCTCAATGATCTCGTAGAGCTGAATGATGTGGGGATGTTGCACCTGACGATGAAGCGGCCGCACCGAACTCGTGCAGTGCTGCCGCAGTCCGTCAGCGACGCAGTCTTCACCCAGAAGATCGTGGTTTTTGGTCCAGGATGCTCACATCCCAGGATGCTCCAAATTCCCTTCCAGCCCCCCCCCCGGCTAAGAGTGACTAACGCTCCTGATCTCCCACACTGCCGTCTTGAAACCTCTTCGTCCCAAAAAACACCTCCCGGGGGACACCCCGCCAGCTTGAGAATGTGGATCTCGCGCGCCACGCGCTCCACATCCGCCACATCCTCAGACGGTGACAGCGGGGTGAGACGGTGGAGCAAAAGCAGAAGGGGGTATGAAGACAGCGGATTGAAGCCTACTGGAAGCAACCAAGAACCAAGATGAACTCTCATCTTCTTCTCGTTATTGCTGAATGGCTGTCTTGGGGGTCCTCTTCTCAGGAAAGGCAAACTGACTGGGCCTCCAAACAACAATCCTCTCTTTCTCCAAGATTTTCACGGCCACCTGGACAACAGCCATCTTTGGCTGTGAGGATGCAAAGCGGCCCCGACACACTCAGCCGGAATTGGTCTATGTTGAGTCTGACACGGGCTTTGCCGTGAAGTTTGGACCTTTTGGACAAGGGTTGTGGGAAAGGTTCAGGACGCTTTGAAAAGCAGGATGTTCATCTATATCACAAGCATGGCCATGAAAACATGCATTTGGGGGGCCGCACCCATTTGCTTCAAGCATCTCAGCATCTTGGCTTTCACAAGTTCCCCTTTGTACCAGTTTTTCCTCACTTAGTAGTTCCAAGTCTGAAGAAAAGTTAAAGACAATGGGCCACTTCCTCATCACTTCTGCAACCCCCACACTTGGAGGAACCTTCCTCCTCATTCTGAACGCCGTTTCGTGCCTTCTCGCCCGTGAGGATGTGGGTGCCCAGCTTCACTTTGCCAAAGGTCCCTTCACCGATGGTCTTTCCCAGGATGTAATGACCTGTGTCGCGGTCTTGGTCCGCGGCGTCTTGGGAGTGGTAGCACCAGGGAGTGGTAGCCGCCCGCCCGGGGCTTTTTGGGGTCAAGAAGAAGCTTTGCTTCCAGGCGAAGGGCGGGAGGGGCCACCAAGGAAGGATCGATTGCCATCCAAGAAACCAGGAAAAAGGAGCAATGCCCATCAGGAACACGGCTTTCCTCGCACAAGTTCGAGGGTAGTCTCTTCATCTTGTGTTCTTTCCTGACCTGTGGCTCTGCCAACGGCCTGAGACCTCTCAATTCCAAGGCCCCATTCAAGCCAGCCCGGCTGCGGGTGGTGTCCTGTTTTCACCTCTGAAGGTGAAACTGAGGCTTCGGGCCAATGGACTTGGATCTCATTCCTCTGGGTGTCGCCATCGCGACCTGGGTGTTGCGTTCGGCGATGGACACGTACGCGTTCCGCTGGTGGGCACGGGGAAACCCGCGGTGAGGGCCTGGAAAAGGAGATCCAGGTGTTCTGTCCAAATGATTCTAAGAACGGTTCTCTTCTGGATGATACTTCCTAGAAATATGATCCAGGTGTTCCATCCAGGTGTGCTATTCATTCATGTGTGGGTGGAAACTAGTCATGTCTATAGGGAAAGCCCCTCCGGTTTTGGAGGGCTGGTGGTGTACAACAGCTGTTCCTTTCCAGCGATTGGGTCTCCCAGGTAGCACAGTAACAGTGGATGATGGGAATGTAAGGACATTTCTCAAAAAGAGGACATTTTACCAAGGCCCCTTTCTCCTCCTTCGGCATCCCAACCGGCTTTTCTCGGCTGGGTGAAAGGGGCTTCGATGCTGGGCTTCGATGCTGCGACTCAGCGAGCTGGCTGGGCTGTTTGCAATGGTCTTAGAGGCTCTGTCTTGCACCGTATTGTGTTGCTCAAAGGTAGGCCTGGCCTTTCGCTACGCAGCAACTAAGACAGCTGCTGCTTGTCGGACTGTGCTTCTTTGATGGTTTTTGGATGTTTTGGGTCTTGCCGGGAGCATCTGGCAACCGTGGAACTGGACAGCTTCTGAATCTCTTGATGCCTTCCTTCACACCTTTCTCCAGGCTGAAAACGGCCACGGCACGCCAACGGCCACGGGTGACGACCGACGTGTGAAACCCGGTCCGACCCCAGGCCGCGCACGTCCAGGCCGAGCACTCCCCATTGGGCACCCAAAAGGAAGGACTGAAAAAGGAAGATCCCTCGGTCTGGCTTCGTTGGCAGCCGCTTTCAGGGACACTGTCGTCGAAAAAGGGACACTGAACGACGGCAGGGACACTGGAGAAGATCACGCACGTTGAACGACCCTTTTTCATGCGTCCCAAGCCACAAACAAAATTGGTCTGCTACCCTCCCCAAACTGATACCAAAGCCCCAGCAAGAGAAAAAGCATGTTTGAAGCCTTTTGTGGGGTGCTAGCTGCTAGGTTGGTTTCGACGCGATCTTTTTGAGTTTAGACCCCTACCAGCCAACACCATCTACTTCTCCTCTATGAAAAAGATGGTCTCCCCATTCCCCATCCATCCCTTTAAGTTCTGCTTACTGGAGGATTACATGCCAAAATCCTCTCTTGTTGGTAGCCATGCATGCATGTTGACATCAAAAATCGATGCCAAGAGCACATGGTCTGTCTCTAGATTGTCTTCACTTCCTTTTCGGAGCTAGGCTTCTGCATGTGCAAATCATGTGAGCTCAAAGACCCGGAACGATGGCTCAAAGACTCGTTCATATCCCAGGGATGGGATGGTCACCATGGTCTCTGGGAGTATGCAGCTGGTATCCAGCTATAGGACCTAGGCCTTATATACCTGTCTATCTGTGATGGAGTCATGAGGAATCAAGGCTGTCCAACAGCTCACCACTCCTGAGCTGTCCAACAAACCCATCAGAGTCCACTTCCTGAGCTTTGCTCCTTCTTCGGATCAGTCACCTTTGAACTAGAAGACTGTCACACTCAACGCGAGGTGTGTGGTTTTGGGTAAGCATTTGGGGATGGCTGAATCAATCAATAAATTACAGTAACATCAATTAACTGCAGAATATACCATTACAGTAGTAATTATCATAAATTATTGCGCACAGACCATTCCAAAGTTGCTCTATGGTGGAAGTCTGGCCAAAATACAAAACAAACAAATCTCGACCAAAACCGCTTCGCTCGGGCGGAGGACTCCTTTTTGGGCCCGTGTCAGAGATCCTTGCTACTCGCGTGAGGCCTCCGTCGCACCCTTCAGGAAGAGCGAGAGACCACCACGAAAATCAGGATCACTGCCAGCACCGCCGCGAGCAGTAAGAGCCAGTAGATGAATCTAGAGCCGCGCCTGTCGAACCAAGGTAGAGCGACCTGACCTCAACTTTGAACAGAATTCTGACTGAGCTACCTTCGGGCTATCCGCCCAAGGTTCTAGTCGGTCGATGATGAAGCATCGTGGTTGTATTGGGTCAATGTAACTGATACAGTACCAGCCATGTGCTCACTCTATCCAACAGTACAGCCATTTCTTTCTTCCCACTTCTGCATGTGGACGGCTAGCCGTCATGGTATGTGTGGGTTCCCCCACCTCGAAAGCTCCACGTTCGGCCGACCAACGGACCGGAATACTCCGTGCGAATGAGACGACCAGCACTCCGGGCATACGAAGTAGGAAGAAGCACTTGACTCACTTGAGCAGAATGATTCTCGTTCAGACTTGATGAACACCCGACTGAGGGCTGACTCGCTCGCGTGGAAACCATTTTCCCGGCAGACTCGAAGGACCATTAAACCGTGACACCTGGAAACCATGGAACCGGACACATGGCGAATCCCCGTCCGAAAAAAGGATCCTGAATAACAACACCCGGAAGGGGCTGCCCTTCGGAAAACACGCGAAGGGGATCCTCGTCACGCTCCCCCAAGAGGGTATCTCAGAACCTACAGTCATCACGCCTTTTGATCCAGGAATGTTTGGATTTCTGTTCTCCTTCGGGGCCATGTCATCCCGTTCCATGTGCAGAAGTGGTCAGCTAGGAAAGGGAAAACACAAAATTAAAAAATAAAAGGAAGAAAGAAAGACAGACAGACAGACAGATAGACAAACAGACATGTGAAGTTCAACATGACACTGTTCCCAACATTGAAGGAGATAAGATACCTCAACATTGTGGCTCAACACTAGGGCCCTTGAGCACATTCAACATACAAACAAAAGGCGCGAGCATTTCAGCAAACAGTTCAACAATACTTCATAATTTTACATGGTAGCGGAGCAGACCTGGAAACGATCCGGGCTGCTCAACTGATCAACCGATCAGTCACAACAACAAAGCATAGCATCAACAGCCATTGCCGGAGAGGCTTGATCTACTGATCAGCAATGGGCCAGTAGGGACTTCTTGACAATGGCGCAGGCAGGGGAACAACAAGGACAAGAACCACAGGAAGCATTAGCAAGCTCACACAAGTACCGCATCAAGCCACCAACATTTGACGGCAACTATGCACACTTCGAGGAATGGAAGTACAAATTCACAGCATACATGGGACTCACCAACAACAGGTATCCACTACTGCTAGACCAGACAGCAGCAGCAGCCACCCTCATTGATGAGGCAAGACTACGAGGAGCAGCATCAACAACAGAAGAAGCCAACGAGAACATCCAAATGTCAGCAGATCTGAAGTACATCCTCATCAGCATCACCAGTGGATCAGCAGCCATGATTTGCAGACAATATCAGCAGACAACAGGCTTCGAGATATGGAGACAACTCCATGTCCGATTCATGATTCCAACAGGAACTCGAGGAATCGGTTATCTCACACGACTTCTCAAACCAACATTCGATCAGCACAACTTCGAAGAGTCTTTCATACAATGGGAATATGAAGTCAACAGATTTGAGACAGACAACCAATCACCATTACCAGACGCAGTCAAAGTCGCCATCTTGCTCAACGAGACCAAAGGTTCACTACGGCAACATCTACAACTACAAGCAGGTACAAATCCAACATACACACACATCAGAACAACCACCATGGAATACTACAAGTCGATTACAGCCTTCAGCAGGATGCAACAAGCCACATCAGCTCAAGCAACATACCAAGGAGGAGGAACCGCGCCAATGGACATAGGAGCAATCAACAAAGGAAAAGGAAAAGGCTACAAAGGAAAGAACAACAAGGGCAAAGGCAAGCAGAACAAGGGCTACAACGACGGCAAGGGAAAAGGCAATGGAAACTACAACAAAGGAGGATTCGGCAAGGGCAAAGGAAAGATACAGATGCAACAGAAAGGATGGCAACAACAGCCGATTGGACAAGGCAATCCATTCAGCAAGGGCTATGCACAAGCACCACACAAAGGCAACAAAGGAAAGGCAAAGGTAAGCCGGTCACAGCAATTTGCTACAAGTGCGGCAACCCAGGTCACTTGGCCCGGGATTGTCGAGTGGCAGTGTACAACATGGGGGAAGCGACATATGAAGATCAGACACAAGCATGGTGGAATGACCAACAGTATGATGCAACATGGTGGAGCCAGGACTTACGACATGTTCAGCAGCCGCAGTCGCAACAGCAGTTAGCCTTACCACCAGCTCCAACATATCCAGTAGCTCAAGCAAACACTGAGCAAATCCACTTCATCAGCGGGGTCGGCAACGACCTTCTCATTGCAGCCATTGAGCATCAACAGGTAAGCAAGACACAGAGCGCAGTATGCCCACATGGTTTCAGCAATGAACAAGGACCAAGACTTCGATCAGTGACCAACGACAACATCCAGCTGTTTGGGCAAAGCATCGTCATCCCTTTCTACGTATGCAATGTCCGTCAACCCATTCTGTCAGTCACCAGACTGGCTGAACAAGGGTTTACATTGTAGTTCGGGGACAACCCCGCACATTGAACACAGTAAAGGGTTTCGATCAACACTGGAACAGAAGGATAGTCTGTATTATCTCAACACCAGGGTCCTTCAACTGCCAGAGGATCACAGACTACACATCGAACAGGCCGACGACGGAACAGTCTCGGCCATGATCGCGCCAACAACAGCTCTCACACCTGATGGTCCAACAGTCGTTCTTGGAGGCCGACAGGACTATTGGACATACAACAGTGAGGGTTACCTGGTGCGTGCCCACAAGGTTCCACGCAAGGCACTGTTTCAACCAGAACGGACATGTCCTGCGCCAACAACACAACTTGAAGACTTTAGGAGAACAATTGTACGACGAGAAGACAGCAACAATGAGGACATCAGGGACAACTACCTCACCATCAACAAGCGTCAGCAACGACGTGTCCTCAAGGGACAACCCTGGACAGGTGAGACCTGGTTCAAGGTCAAGCTTGGAACAACCCAAATGAGCACACAAGTCACACCACCAGCAACATCAAAGCCTGTAGCCATCGAGAACAAAGGAAAGTCAGCAGGAAAAGGAAAGAAGGCAACAACACAGCCTCAGGCATCACAAACACCCCAACCGCCTGAGCAGCATATCACAAAGCAACCACTCTACAGGCACACCTTCAAGAGTACACCGCCTACGACAACAGCAATCCCACATCCAAAGGACGTGGTAGCAACGTCTGATTACTGGATGCGGGAAGGACACTTTTGGAAACGTGTCCACATCCAGCCAAGAACAACCTTCTACATTCCAGAGCGAACAGACGACGGACCAGACATCAGCAAGTTGAAAGCATGGAGACAGACATTCACAACGGCAGTAGGGAACAAACACAAACACAACAGGTACGAAGATAATTGGACAGAAAAGCCCAACAAAGCCTTGAATTATGAGTGGACAGGATCCAATAACTTTGAGGAAGCAACAGAGTACAACGCCGAATACGACACAGATGAAAGAGAGCAACAACAGTCAGCAAGGAGAGCAACAGAGGTACCTAGACCACAACAGCCAACGGCTCAGGAACGAGCAGAGCACGAGCTAACACATTTGCCTTACCGCACATGGTGTGACATTTGCGTTCGCACCAAAGGCAAGACCAACAGTCATCCAAGACAGAAGAGCAGTCAACCAGTCATCCAGGTCGACATGACCTACATCAAGAGCCTCGACGACAAGTCCACAACACCAATCCTAACAGCAATCGATGTCGAGACTGGAATGAGCATGGCAACACTCATCCAGGATCGAACTCAACATTTTGAGTATTTTGTCAACTGCATGTGCAACTTCCTTATGGAGTCTGGAAGGACACAGGCCATCCTGGCCAACACAGTTCTACAATCAGATCAAGAACCATTTCTCATCAACCTTCTGAAAGCTACAGCTTTACGACTAGGAAACAACATCTCAGTCAGACAGAGTGCAGCATACAACAGCCAATCACAAGATTCAGTGGAGCGATTTCACAGAACACTGATCTCACAAATCAGATCACTTCGAGCACAAGTCAAGCAATACTGTGACAGAGACATCAACTGCGAGCAACCGCTTATGCCGTGGCTAGTACGGCATTCCAACTACTTGCTCAACCGCTACCTCATTCACAACGATGGCAACACCAGCTTCTACAGACGCTGGGGAAAGGAACACAAAACCCCAATCTGCATCTTTGCAGAAACAGTTCAATACATGGCTCGGACAGCAAAGCCAATGCCAAACCTTGAGCAGCGCTTCTTCAAAGGCATCTGGCTTGGCAAGGATACAGCAACAAATGAACACATCATTGGCATTGCCAACAGAGTCGTCAGAGCACGAACAATTTGGAGGATGGTTCTTCCAGACAACTTCGACAAACAACTCTTAGACATCATCAGCTCTTATCCATGGACACCCATTTCAACAGCTCCAACAGGCGTCGTGCCACTTGCCATTTCGGCGCCGAAGCCATCAGCAACGGCAGAGACACAGACTGTCGACGCACAACCACTGATCACAAGCAAGCACACAAGCGAACAACAAGAATCAGAGGAGAACAAGCGCAGAAGGGTCATTACGGACGTCCCCCTTGCAACATCAACATCTCAACAGAAGAGACAAGCACTACCAATGCCAACACTAGGAGACGGCTCACCAATCAAGCGAAGCCTTGAAGCACCAACAACAACCTCAGCAACGAAGCATGAGCCGAAGCAAGTTCGAACAACTCCCGAGATCAGCGGCTCAGCAACAGGAAGCACAGAACAACCAGCAACAAGACTGAGGATCTCAGCACTTCAGGTGACAACAAAGAAAGGAGAAACAATTACAGCAACAGTACATGAAGATGATGAGGAAGCGACAACAGAACGCATCCTTCTAGAACCAATCATCCATGACACAGAAGGATTCGACAAGCAAAAGCTCATCGCTGGCATGAAGAAAGAGATCGACTCCATGAAGCAACAACATGTCTTCAAAGAACGACACATTGACAAGCTCACTCCCGAAGAACAACAGACCATCATCCAGAGCAAATGGGTTCACAGGGAGAAAGGCGATGACGTTCGATGTCGCATCGTCGCCAAAGGCTTCACAGAGCACGTCAACGACGCAGATGACATCTATGCCTCAACACCTGTTTGCGCAGTGCTCAAATAACTTCTGGCACTAGCACTCACATTCCGGTGGAGCATCACAACAGGTGACATCAGCACAGCCTTCCTACACGCAGCTGCAGCAGTGACAACAGGAATCGCATTACACATGTATCCACCAACAGAGTTCTACAATGCTGCAGACCGCATAGTCTGGAGATTGAACAAGGCCTTTATGGGCTCAGATCATCACCAAAGGCCTGGCAGGACCATCTCGCAGACATCCTTCAACATGTGTTGAAGCTGGAGCGCCTTAGAACAGAACCAAACGTCTTCAAGACACCAGGCAATACCTGCTCAACAACAACATTCTTGATGGTTTACGTAGACGACCTTTTCTTCCTGGGTCCACACGACACCATCAATAAGATCTTCAAGCAGATTCAACAACATCTTCTTCTTCGACGAACTGGAGAGCTAACAGCCGGAAAGACTGTGACATTCCTGGGGCGCAACATCACACACTGTGGAACACACTTTGAGCTCTCACTTGGCAACCACTATGTTGACAACATCATCACGGAAGTCAAAATGGAGACATGCAATCCATCAGCGACCCCAGGGACGGCAGCACTACGAGCAACAGATGAACATGAGCAAGACCTCAGCAGAGAAGAACATGGAATGTACAGACGAGTAGTAGGCAAGCTTCAATGGCTTGTCTACACAAGGCCAGACTTGGCCTATGCAACAAAGGAACTTGCAAGAGCACTCAACAAGCCAACCACACAGGATTGGAAGCGCATGAAACATGTCGTGAGGTATCTACAAGGAACAAAGCACTACAAGTTCACAGTTCAACCAACAGCACAAATAACTGATGAACTTAAGGAGATCGACGTTGATGCATATGTCGGTGCTGACTGGGCAGGAGATCCAGTCACAAGGAAATCAACATCCGGGTTTGCCATCTACATCTTTGGCACCTGTGTACAATTCGGAAGCAGAACACAACAAACAGTAGCACTTAGTAGCGCAGAGAGTGAACTCTACGCGATCGGAACAGGAGCAATTGAATCACTACACCTCAGCTATTTCCTCAAGGAACTACACCAAGATCAACATCCGCATTCTCACTGACTCATCAGCAGGAAAGTCCATTGCAACACGCATTGGCAGCTCAAAGAAAGCAAAACACATCCAGATCAAGTATCTCTTCGTGCAACAACTCGTTCAGCCAACATCATTTCAATCGTGAAGATAAGGAGCAATGACAACAGAGCAGACGTCTTCACCAAGCATGTGACTCCTGAAACACTCAGGAGGCATCTGCAAGCCATCGGTCTCATTGACCGAAACAACAACTCACACAATTGAGAAGCTAGCAGTTTCACAGCAGCAATCTTCAACATGAAGATCAAGCAGTCAGCAAACATGCATGCAGCATGACTTCCAACATGGAGGTCGAGCGATGTGTTTCAAGCAAATGTGTCTCAACAAGAGATGCAAATGATAGTCACGTGCGCGTGCGTGTACAGCGTGAGCAGTGCACAGACACACATAAACAGTGCACATTTAGAATTTCGATGCCATGGTTCGATGCCGTTCTCTCAACAGAGACGAAGCCCATCGATTACATGATCTCTCTTGGTTTCAACACCTTTTTGCCGATCGATCGCTCCAACATGATTTTCATGCACGTCAACACTTTTCGGTCTCAACATGTGATTTCGGACGGTGATATGAATTCAACGTTTTTGCCGCCCTTTCGTTCAGAGCTCAACAGCCAGAAGCGTCAACTTCGCCTTCAACCTCGGTAACACGGCTGTGGTTCAACTCACTCCGATGACGGGAACATGTCAGGTCTATGAGGCCACGTTCCCGATTCCAACGCATGGAGGTCAGGACACGAGGACACCAACATGCACAGCCCACTTAACATCAACCCGGACATCAACACGGGCTCGATCACGGAAGAGGGTGTGAACAACCCCTGAGCCTTTCAACGAAGGGTCAACACTGGAGTCAACGGGTGCGTAAGTCACTAGATGACTCAACAGTGTCAGTTTTTTTTGCCAGATCGCTGTCTGAACACGACATTGATCTGAGGGACGGTGTGAAATTCAACATGACACTGTTCCCAACATTGAGGGAGATAAGATACCTCAACATTGTAGCTCAACACTAGGGCCCTTGAGCACATTCAACATACAAACAAAAGGCGCGAGCATTTCAGCAAACAGTTCAACAATACTTCAAACTTTACAAGACAGACAGAGAGAGAGAGAGAGAGAGAAAAAAAAAAGTGCAACACAAGAACGAGAACAAGGAGAAAACCAGTGTAATGTGCGACCCCATGTTCCCATTCCTAGAGCTGCTCGCCTCTGAGAGCTGCTCGCCTGTGTAAGCTGCTCAGTGGCATCGGAGGTGGCCTCGACGTCGCGCTGTCTCCCGGGCCGTCGAGCCCAAGCGATGTGAGGTAACTGCTTCGGGCCGTTCTGGGTACCGGCGGGTTAAGGGACGGTTGTCTTGAGATCAAGCCACGGCAGAGAGTCTCCATCTCCGGACAAAGAGAGATGTCTCTCTTCGGAGGAATTCCCAAAGACCACCGGCATCGCCCTGCAACGTCTCCGAAAACAGCGAGACGGGGTCCATTAGGGTCCATCTGGCATCCTCCAGCTCGCCTGGGTGGAATTCCTCAAGTCAGCTTCGATGCTGTCCAGCTGGTCGCCCTGCACCTACAAGTAGATGCTTGGCCATATAGACAGATCAAGAACGGAAGGGTCTGTCGATGGAACAATCACATGCACATTTGGTGAAAGATCTATATATATATATAATATATATATAATGTAAAATATAGTCAAGATCCTTGCCCTAAAAACCCAGGAGGTGTTCCCTAAAGACACTGGAGTTGAGCGAGTTCGGCGAGTTGGGTCCGGTGTCCGCTCGAGCGGACGACTGACACGGCGGCCTTCGTGTGAAAAGAGAGATCCGCCATGGCCTGCCGGCGAAGGGTCGAAGTCAGGAACAAGGCAGGCGTCATGGAAACAACCAACGCGTCTCATATAGTCGTTTGTATATAAGGCATCAACCAATTCGCTGGCCACAGGGGACCAAGGTCGTCACACACTTGGAGAAATGATGAGACACGAGGTGCTCGCAGACACGAGAAAAGAGCCAAGTATAAGTCCCTATCTCAATCAGCGGTCTTTTGGGTTGTGGCCAAAGATGGTGTCCTTCTGTCATGCCCCAAAAACATGATGGTGGTGTGGATATCTCAAGTCATCTGTGGATTTACCCTGCTGAAGTCTGTTTGGCACCACAGATGGCTCTCTAGTCTGCCTTTCCCACACCGCTTGATGGGAAGCTCCTCACAAACGATCCTTGCTCGTGCCGGTGTTCCAAACCACAGATCCTTCTCCGCTTTCCCCAAACCACCCCCAGGCAAAAAGATACCACCCCAAAAAACCATCATACAACATCCTTCTACCCTCCCAGAAAAAAAAATACAAAAAAAACACGCATGCATCCGCGCATTTGCTTGCACCGCGCGCACCGCGCGCGCACCACGCGCGCGCGAAGCCAAAGGTTCCTCCTTTCCCGGCTTGGCGTGGCCTGTTGAAGTCCTCGCACATCTTGCGCCAAGGTGGAGATCTGGGAACCGGACGTTGGGAGCAGACACGACCGGGGTTTCCAGGACGGGGGGGCAGTGGCGGGTATGGCGGTGGAAGTGGTGCCATATGAAAACACCTACAAGCAAAGGGAAAGGTCTAGAAGCTGTTCCTGGGTCGGAGCATGTGGCGCTTTGCCACAGTGGAGCCGGAAAAGTGCACGCATGATAGCCTACAAAACACGCGGGGAACCTCTCCTGGTTGCTCATCGAAAAATCCGCCACTCTCAGGAGTCAGCAGACCCCAGAGACAGAAATCGGAAGAGTCACTGACTGATGGGAAGTCGTGAAAATACGGTACTAGCCTTGGGACTTGGGAAAAAGGAAAAAGATTGCATTCGGCATCCCATAATGTATATGTTGTTCTCTTTGGTTTCTCTTTCCACGTGAGCTGGGTTGATGTTATCTGTGAGCCTGCGGCTCGAGGAGAATCAGAATGACTGTGCTTCTAGTTTTTCGCCTGACTCCTTGTTTCAAGCTTTCAAATCGGACGTTTGGTTGGAATCGTTTCCAACCGCTATCCTTGAATCCATCGCTGTACAATAGTATCGTGAGAGAGAGAGAGAGACAGAAAGAAAGAAAGAAAGAAAGAAAGAAAGCAAGCAAGCAAGCAAGCAAGGAAGGAAGGAAGGAAGGAAGAGGAAGGAAGAGGAAGGAAGAGGAAGGAACGGGAAGGAAGGGGAAGGAAGGGGGGGTGAAGGGGAAGGAAGGGGAAGGAAGGGGAAGGAAAGGGAAGGAAAGGAAAGGAAAGGAAAGGAAAGGAAAGAAAGCAAGAACGAAAGAAAGAAAAGAGAGAGAGAGAGAGAGAGAACAAAAAGAAATTATAGAAACAAAAACACAACGAGAGTTAGAATTGTACGAAAATGAAACAGCGCTTCCTAGGAATTTGTGAAGGCTGGATGCTTCGCACAAACCATAAAAGAAGACCTCTGGTTCGCTGTAGGATCTTTGTACTGTCAGGCAATGTCGTTTGCGAACGGCGCGACCCAAAATGTGGAATCGCTCCTGCCCTGTAGTTTGCAAGAAAAACACCTGGTGTCTTGAGGCAATCTACAAGGGTATGTGCACGATGCAAAAACGGAACATGGCATCATGTGCAAATCAACAATATATATGTTTAATGCCCATGTGTTCATATATACGTTCACATGTGTTCACTTCGTTTTTGCTGCAATGAAAAGGGACTGTTTCGCAAAGCGAGTTTCGCACCCTGTTGGATCCGGTTGGTCCGAGCGGCATCTTCGATGTACTCATCAACAATGGCGTTGTGTATGTCGAGTTCCGCCTGGCGAAGAAAGGGAGTACACTCGGATTGTTTTTGGGGATGTGTTTTTTGTGTTCCAGTAAGGAACTGCAATGGGACGATGGTTTGTGGTCAGAAGCCACTTCCGGCTCTTTACTGTGGATCCTGTCATAAGCAACCTACAGTGCTCTGTCAGCATCTCGTCTGCTTTGATCCATGCGACAGTTCTGCATCGTGGGAGGGGTGCCTAAATCAAAGAGCGGACGCAAGTTGACCCCCTCCCTGCCCTAATCACCCTAATCAAAGAGTTGGCCATGTCCCTCAGATGTGTCCCCTCAGAAACTGCGTGCTTCCCGCCTCCGAAACCATCTCGGCCGTCATTTGCTGCCGCTGTCCAGACTCAGTGATACGTCAGAACTCTACAAAATCTGTGCTCTAACTTTGGCGCGGAAGCGTGAATGTCACGCCCTTCCAAAACTTCCAATGGCTCCGCATCATCTTTGGATCTGCAAATTGGATGCGGAAACCTGCGGAAACTGTAGCATCTCACCTGTTTTGGGGAAGCCGCTGCCATCAACGGCAAGGATCATCCAATGAAAACCCCTCCTATGGGATTGACACATACCTCAGCAGTCTCTGTGTAGTGTAGCTTTCAACATGTCCGTTTCGTCTCTCGCTGTGCTGCGCTCCCCAGCGGCCATGGAGCCCATCTCGAGATCGTCCGCAGCAGCAGATCTGGTGCCGAGAGTTCGACGAGTTCGTCGAGTTCGTCGAGTTCCCTTCGTCCCGTCTTTGGGAGGGCTCGGAACGCCTTCTTCCAGGTCTCTGGATTTCAATATGTCACCCATTTGGCTGTGGGGACCGTGACACCCGGACACCCACCGGTTGACCTACCCGAGCTACATGGTGTTTCTTTGGGGCTCCAGGGATTTGACCCCCATCCCTATGTAGCAACGCAGGCCATCTGAAACCAATTGAGCACAGCCACAAAATGGCTATCTCCGCTAGAAATGATCACAGTGGAAGACTCTTCACACCTCCAAAAATGAACAGGCACCAAACAAACCAATTGCCTTCGTGCGATGGAACCTACCAGTTGTTCATAGTTGTTCAGGCGGAAAAAACCCTACTATTTCAGATTCAACATCTTCAACAGCTCTTGGCCCGTTGGACCCCGCGCCGGTCTCCCAGAGCGGAACCCCCACACCTCCCGCTCTCGCTTTGGACGTCCCCACCGTCGCTTTGGACGTTCCCGCCTGCCGTGGGGGGCCGACTCGGCCTTCTTCTCGGCGAGCTCGAAGGCCTGGAAACTCGCCTGGACTCGGACAGCTCCGCACCGGAGAGAGACCCCCAGACCCCCCAGGACGCTCCGACCCGCTCCCGAGAAGCGTCTCTTTGAGGCGAAGACTTCGGCTACCGGAGGGTGCCCAAACGGTTCGGTTGGTACCGGTCCTCCAGGGCCCATGACTCAACCGTGAGCCACTTCGGTTCCGGGGCCCTGCCCGGAGGTGAGACGACACCAACGCACCGTGAAGCATCTCAGACACGACACTGCCATAGGACGGACTGTTTTTTTTTCAGTTGGGGGTGGTTGAACAGGGGTCAATGATGGTCAATGTATGCCCTAGAAGTCCAAAGACCATATTTTCACCGGCTGAAGGTTTCAGGAAGTTCCCGAAATCAGGTCCCCGTTCGTCAGACCATTCTTTTTGATAGTCTTTGACTCCCAGGGTATGCATATGCATGCATGTATGTCAGTCCCTTGAGTCGGGTCTAGGCAACCAGACAGGCGCGATGAGAGGGAAGAACACACCGACCGGCGCAGATGAGAGGCGCGGCCGGTGCGAATGGCAGGTGCGTGGCGCAAGGAACCGCCACCAGGCGGCGAATTGAGGCATGTTTTGATGCTTTGGGGATAGGCATGATTTGGTGCGTCTGTGTATATATATATATATATATGAGTATCAGTATAATAGAATAGAAAATGAATAGAAATATTGTAGTTTGCGCCCCCGCCAGAGTCCTGATGTTCAGCTTCCTCACTTTGGGAAGTGGTGATGATCACCTTTCGAAACCACCACGTTGTGAGGTGAGGAATGGTCCCTCGTCGTCGAGCACCATGAAGGTGTGCGGGATTCACAGAGAGAAAACATGAAGACCGGGCGGGGCTAAGGAGTCAGAGATGAATCAGAAAACAAGATCCCAAACAATCCAAAGGCCCTCGGAATGCCAAAGAACTCCTAGCGTACCGTACGGGGAAGAGGCCGCGTTTGATTTATAGACAGTATCAGTATACTCCAGAATCAGATTGCCTTTGTAACAAAGCCTTTGTACTTCAAGAACATCACATGCTTCAAACAAACCAAAGCTACCAAACTTGGGAACCTCAAGTGCCCAACCACACGACCTCGATATGGTCACGGGTGCGAAACCACAAGACTCGTGTTGGGCGGTTCCCGCACCTGAAGATCTTGGATGCTCTTGGTCAAGTTTTCGCCTGGGTGACGGGAGGTCACATGTTCCGCCATGAAGAGAAAACATGTTCCGCTTGGGCTCTGCCCCGGCAACAGTGACCACAAAGGCCCTGACCCTTTACGACTGTTACTGTGGGCCCAATGTTCCGCCATGAAGAGATGTGAAGAAGATGGAAGAGATCCTCTGGGTCCCCCCAAACCACTCGACGGTGGAGTGGTCGCTTTTTCTTCGGTAAGGTCAGATGTGCTAAGCATTCCCGAGGGAGCGTGCAGCTTCTGAAAAAGACGTGCTCGTTTCAAAACGTATCAAAACGCCCGTGGTCACCCGGAGAGGTCTTTCTGGCGAAGTCTGCCTTTAATTTGAAGGGATTCAAGGGAGATTACAAGGTCAATGGGTCAATCCAGGTAAGGAAAAACTGGGTGCTAAGCTGAAGTGGCACATGTTAGAAAATGTTGGAACATGTGTTTAGGACTGACAATAGGCGACGGCTGACGGCTTTATTGTAAAATGGTCTTCGATGTGGTTCGATGACACTCTTCCCTCAACCAGCCTCAAACAGCCTCAAACAGCACATGCAAAACAAGCACCGAGATCGGAGTGGCAACACCATCCAAATGCTCCAAGGCACTCAGCTTCTGCTGCATCAAACTCCGGTTTCTCTGCTCCCCGAAGGTGCTACCGCCCACGTGGCTCAGCTGGGCGCGTGGCTCAGGCGGACGCGTAACCGACGGCAGCGGAGGGTCCAGGGGAGACTCGTCCAACGCGAGAAGCGGCGACCACACTGTGACCACACCATTTTGTTGGAAGCGGCGACCGGCGATGTGCTGTTTTACACTTGCTGGGGTTCTTTCAAAACATGGAACCAAAAAAAAATACCCCAAAGAGACACAGGAACTGGTAAGAATCGTAGTTGTATTCGCAACCTCTTAGGAACTCTTCTCAGAAGGCGTGCAAGAGCTCCAAAGATCACGACCTGGTCCAGCTCCAAAAATCGACTCCTCCCCCCCTCCCATTCTGATTCCAATCTTCCCATTCCGCCCACCCAGAGGCCTTCTCGAGGCGCCGCGTCGCTTCCTGCGTCGCCTGATGCCCGGCATGGAGAGCACCTTCCACCTGCTCCGCCGCTCTCGCGGACGGACGGCCGGGAACACCCCACCAGACGGAGCTCGGTGGAGGGACAACCGGGTCGCGTAACCCGGACCAGGCACCGAAAGAGGCACCGGAAAGCGGGAGGTGGAGGTGGAAGCTGGTTGGCTGGCTTGGAAGCTGGTTTTCACTGGTATGCCGTATTACCCAGCATTCCCCAGCCCAAACAACAACAACGCCTGTATTGTTGTTGTTGTTGTGGTTGTCGTCGTTGCTGTTGTTGCTGCTGCTGCTGCTGTTGTGGTTGTGGTTGTGGTTGTGGTTGCTACTGCTGCTCGTTGTTCATTGCTCATTGCCCATTGCTCGTTGTCTCTTGCTTGTTGTTGTTGTGGTGGTGGTGGTGGTGGTGGTTGTGGTTGTGGTTGTGGTTGTGGTTGTGGTTGTGGTTGCTACTGCTGCTCGTTGCTCATTGCTCATTGCCCATTGTTTGTTGTCTCTTGTTTGTTGTTGTTGTTGTTGTTGTTGTTGTTGTTGTTGTTGTTGTTGTT